TCAGGGAAAGAAGCTTCCAAGCCTTAGACGTCCATCATGTGAAGCCTGTTGGTAAACACTCTGCAGAGCTTGTAGGGCTACAAGAAAAAGCGCTGTGAGTTGTCAGTGTGGTGCTATCATGAGCACAGACCTAGAAATGGGGTGTCGGGCAGGGCTTCTCACAGGGGAGCTGGGTGGGCAAGGGGCAGGGCAGAGCTGGCAGCTGCAGGAAGCTTCTTTGTTTTTTGAGACAGGGTCTCACTTTGCAGTTCAGGCTGGCCTTGAACCCATGGCAATTCTCCTGCTTCAGCCTCCCAAGTACTGGGATTACAGGTATGTACTACCACACCCACAGGAAGCATTTAATAATAACATTATTATTACTATTTTTGTTTTGTTTAAGAAATTGTAAGTCTGGGACTCTGCACTGATATATTACATGAGGAGAAGTGGGCTGTAAACATGATCGTTGGTCTCCTAGCAACTCTGACAGTTTACTGGCTTGTGTAGAAACACATCAGGCGCAATACCAGGTTCTTGCAACCTTTTATCACACCCTCTTGGGTCACTGTGTAGAACAGTTTGCAGCTATACATTCCATAAAGTTTGTGGTTTTAATCTTTAGACTGTAGTAACTCTACCTTCCATTTTTCTATTTTTAAAGCTTTTTTTTTTCATTTTGTTTGTAATTGGTTATGGTATCACCAACTACATACAAAGGAAACATCACACAATCAGACAGTTGTGATGAGTATGTTCTTACCAAAATCTCTCATCACCCTGCAATAGCCAAGCAAGTGTTTTAGCTTCCTACTGCTGCTGTGAAGCAGTGCAAACTTGCTACTTTCCAGTTCTGGAGGTCAGAAGCTCCGAAGGGTTCTGATGGGGCTGAAATCTAGCTGTCAACAGGGCTATCTTCTGCAGACTTTGGGGAAGAATAGGTTCCCTGCCCTTTTTAGCCTAAAGAGGGCGCGCGCGTTCCTCGGCTTGGTCTCCCCGCAGGCAATTAGAAAACTGCTGCTGTTGCCTTCCTTTCTCCCCAGACTCTTCCGCCCCATTCTACATTTAAGGACCCGAGTGATTACACTGGACTCACCCGGATAAATCGGGGGTAATCTTCCCATTTACAGATCTTCACATAAATATATATTCAGAGTCCCTCTTTCCGTGTGAGATAACTTTTAGTTTCCTGAAACTAAGTCACGGACATCTTTCAGGGCCTATCATCCCGCCTGTGTACTTGGATAATTATCTCATTTCTCTGTTTATTTCTGTCCTGAATTTTGCTGAACTTGTGGTCAGATGAATTTTTTTGGCTGTTAATAAACATCCTTTGGGTAATTAGGAAGATTTTATACATCTTTAATTATATCCTAGTATATCTGTAGGTTAATTTTCTGTGAGTAAAGAGATTGTTTTACTCAATATCTAATAGTTTACACCTTTAACTGATGAGTACTGTTAATTAAGAGCTTGGAAAAACTTCAAAGCTTAGTCTGCTGGGTCTTACAGAGTGAGACTGATCTATTATTTATCCTTTTGTTTTCCAAGTTGCGTATAAAAGAGTCAACAGATATATAAATTAAGTACTTGAGAATGTTTCCTCTTTCTTTTATTTTTGGTTTCCTCTTTTTTGCAGTGAGGGGCAAGATGCTTCCCACCGCTGTTCATTCTATGAAACGACCTGTTGCACCTTGAAGACAATGAAATATGTTTATGATTGAAACGAGCTCAGAAATTGCCACCAGGAATACTCATCTAGATCTCCTTGTAATCTGGGCTGCAATGTGAGTTCCACCTAATCTCAGAGAGTGTCGGAGGGATGGATTTTGAACTGCTGCTTTTTGATAGTTGGCAGGTAGTACTGTAGAACAGACATCTCAAAACTAGTAAAGGGCTGGGGATGTAGCTCAGTGGTAGAGCTCTTGCCTTGCATGCACAAGGCCCTGGGTTTGATCCCTAGCACCACAAAACAAACAAAACTGGATGAAGACCAGTATCTGTGTTCTCCTCTGAGTGGGGATTAGGGTCAGGGAGAGAAGATTCTAAAAGTTAGGCATTTGTCATGTGAAATCTGTTGATAAACACTCTGCATAGCTTTTATTTTTTATTTTTTATTTTTTTGGTCTTATTGAGACAGGGTCTCACTATGCAGTTCAGGCTGGCCTTGAGCTCACTTTGCAGCTGATCTTGAACTTGTAAGGATCCTCCTTCCTCAGTCTCCTAAGTGCTGGGATTATAGGCATGCACCACCATGCCTGGCTTGTTTTGTTTTGCTACTGGGAATCAAACTCAGGACCTTGCGCTTGCCAGGCAGGCACTGTGCCGCTGACCTATCTCCCCAACTCTGCATAGCTTGTAGGGCTATAAGGAAAAAGTGCTGTGAGTTGCTACCATGAGCAAGGACCTGGAAAATGGGGTGTGGAACAGGGCTTCTCACAGGGCAGCTGTGTGGGCAAGGGGCAGGGCAGAGTTGGCAGCTGTAGGAAGCACAGGCTACCCTGAAGGCTTTTATATTCCAGAGCAGAAACCACAGAAATCACAGGTGTCTTCTGCATGGAGAAGACCAAGTGGGGGAGGGGAAGAATAAAGAATGTAAGATTATAGCTGGCAAGGTGGCACATGACTATGATCCTAGCTACTTGAGCCACTATGCTCTCTTTTCTTTTTCTTTTTTCTTTTTTTTGGTACCGGGAATTGAACTCATGACCTTGTGCTTGCCAGGCCGGCGCTGTGCCGCTGAGCTGTATCCCTGGCGCTGATCCAAGCTACATGAAATCCTGAGCAGAAGGACCAAAAGTTCAAGGCCAGCCTGGGCAACTTAGCAAGACCCTGTCTCAAAGAAAAAGACTTAAGATTTTTGCAAGACTATTATTTATATTACCTTGGTTTTTGTGTCACAGGAGATGCAGAGCTCCTTTTCTTTCTTTTTTTTTTTTTTTTACTTTTTTTTTTAAGACAGCGTTCCACTAGGCAGTTCAGGCTGGCCTTAAGCTCAGTTTGTAGCCCAGGCTGGACTCGAGCTCACAACAATCCTCCTACCACCACCACCACCACGCCCAGCTAAATATGATACTTTTCTTTGGTGGGGGTACCAGGAATCGAACTCAGGACCTTGCCCTTGCCAGACAGGTGATTGTGCCACTGAGCTATATCCCTGGCGAGATGCAAAGCTCCTAACAATCTTTCTTACTCTTTGGAGTAAAGTAATCATAGGCACAGGTATTGGGGAGCTATCAGGCTCTAGACACTGATGAGGCACTTTATTTATTGGTTTGATTATTTATTTATTGGTCTTATTTATTTATTGAGACAGGGTTTCATTACATAGTTCAGGCTGACCTTGATCTCATTATGTAGTCCAGGCTGGTTTTGAACTTGCAGCAGTCCTCCTGCCTCAGCCTCCCAAGTGCTGGGATTACAACCATGTGCCACACACCTGGCAGATGAGGCATTTTATATCCCAGATATGATATTTAGCCCTCACAGATCTATTTGGGTACATTGACTTTTACTTATTTCTATTTATTTTTGTTTTGTTTTGTTTTTTTGTTTTTTGAGTCAGGGTCTCACTGTATAGTTCAGGCTGGCCTTGAACACCCTATGTAACCCAGGCTGGCTTCAAACTCACCACAATCCTCCTGCCTCAGCCTCCTGAGTGCTGAGAATAGAGAGGCATGCACTACCACACCAGGCCTTCAGGTACGTCCACTTTTAAAGACAAGGAGGCAGGTCCAAGAGATTAATGAACTTTCCTAGAACTGCACAGTTCATACGTTATGGATCAGGAATTAAAATCCAGGTCTCTCTGTTAAGGTTTATGCATTTTAACTAAATCACAGGCAGCAAACCTACCGGTGTTTTACAAATGATGGTGAACTCTCAGTTCCTATGTATAAGGAAGGCCAAACCATAATCTCAGTGTCATTCGCCACAGTCCAACTGTTGAAACTGCCATGCCTCATTGTTAGGCACGAGTTTTGTTGGAAAGATCGGGAATGGTCCTTTGAGCCACATTAAAATAAAAGAGAAAGAGGAGCCGGGGGTGTTCTTTAGTGGTAGAGAGCCTGCCTGTGGAGTGCCGGGCCCTGGGTTCCAGCCCAGTACTGGGGGGAAAGACATTGCCTGGAGGACCTGCAGGGGGCATTAGAGGGCCATTGAGTTTATGGCTCATTTATTGGTAGTGCAATTCTCCAAGAGGCCAAAAGACACTGTGACTAGGGATGCCCTTCTGTTTGGAGTGGGGGGCAGGGATAAAACCACTGAAGCTTCCAGGTGAAAAGTGAGGTATTACCTTCTTCCTTGCTATTATCTGACATTTTTTTCCTTTATTGGAAAAATACCTATTTTTTGGTATTATCTTTCAACATTTTTCCTAATACTGTTCCCCATAATTATGTTTTTTTTTAAAAAAAACCTTAATTTAGTTTCCTGATTCCTTACAACTCTTCCTGTTCTTTTCCTCCCCTTTCTTAAGATCACCCTTTCCCCTGGATTGGGGCTTGAACTCAGCGCCTTTGCAGTAAGCTACATTCCCACCCCTTGTTTCGTATTTTTTATTTTGAGACAAGGTCTTGTTACTAAATTGTGGGCTGAGGATATGGTTCAGCTCACTTTGTAGCCCAGGCTGGCCTCAAACTCACAGCGATCCTCCTGCCTCAGCCTCCTGAGTGCTGCAATTACAGGTGTGCACCACCACGCCTGGCTGCACGGTCTTTTAAATGTGGGCCCAGCTTGTCCTTCTAGCCCTCTGGCCCAACACCCTTCTCACACCAAATGTTTGGTGGTGTTCCCTTTGCTGTTGTGAAACATTCACACATACTGTTATATCTCCATCAGTAACTGCTAAGACCAAAGCAACTGCTGCAGAAGGGAGAAATCAAAGGAAAATAACAGCATTGCTACCTCAGGAGACAGAACGACGGAGTAAGAATCTTGCATGTCCACACAGACTGCGGCGATTGCAGTGTTACAACAGTGGCTGATACCGCTGAGCTGTGCTGGTGTCATTCACTTCACAGCGTGTGAACAGCTCTTGGGAACACTCCTACAACACGAAGCCTTACCTGGACTTGATTTATGTGAGAGCTGCATTCCTAGGAAATTCAGTAACAGTCAAGCTGTGTAAAATTGTTTTGTGCTTATATGTAAAACGGCAGTCCATGCCAGGGTCAGGAAGCGTAAACAGAGCTTTCACCCCCACCAAGACCGGCCAGGTATAAAAAGGACCCGGGCCGCTTCATTATCACATGGACCCTGACTGCAGAACCTCTAGTATCTGGGCCTGACCTTATCCATGAAATGCTGGCAGTGCCTGCCAATCATTGTGACAACTAAAAAGAAAGAGACCAAAAACTCAGACACACACACACACACACACACACACACACACACACACACACTCTCCCACTCTTTCTGGAAGTGATCTCATCCCTGCTGAGACTCACTGGTTGATGAGGTCAGCATGTTTTACTTACCTGGGATTTTCACTGGGAGAGGTGATAATGAACTTGGCGTTTGTTGAATACTACATGTCTTACACCATTCTAAACACTGAATCTCCTGAGATCGATTCCCAGTATGAAAAAAGAATGAAATGAACATCAAATCTGTTTAAACTCATTTAACCCTTTCAACAACTTTCCAGTAGAGGATCTATTGTTATCTTAAATTTTCAGATGAGAATCAAAACTTATCAAGATTAAAATTAATTCATCCAAGAAAACATAGCTAGTAAGTAAAGGAATTGTAACTTAAACGTAAACAGTTTGGTGCCAGAGCCTGTGTGGGTAACCCCCGCACTCCATCCCTTGTGGTACAAGCTGGTCAGTCCTGAATCAGTTCCCCTAGATACATGGGGATTCTGTTACAGTTTAGCAGAGCATCCCCAGCTAATCTGACTAAGCCACGGCCGAGGAAACTGATCAAATTCATTTGTTCGCTGGTCTATGTCTCTGTCTGTCTCTCACACACACACCACCCATACCCCACTCACGTTATTTCTTTCCCTGGGACTCAGTGAAAGAAACGATGCCTCAGGTGTGGTGGTGAGGCCAGCCTGGGCTACACAGTGAGCTCAAGACCAGCCGGAACTACATAGTAAGACCCTTTCTAAAAAAAAAAAGCCAAACAAAAGAAGGAGAACGGGAAATGATGATATCACAGCTGCTGCAGATCTGTGAATGATTATATTAAAGACTGGTGGAAATGAGTCAGGCACTGCCTATTCACTGGAAAGATTGTGTGTAAGTATTGTATTCTTACCACTAATGTAGTAACTGGGTTACAGTTGCTTGGTAACAATACATCACTGAAAGTAACTTTGAAGAATTGAAATTGACTGTGGCAAATGCTGTGGGGATTTGTGCACCCCTCCTACAGTCTCTAGTTCTCACTGCTGTAACAGGGAAACAATCCTGTAGTCCTCCAGAATTTAACTTTCCCTCATTCCTTCCCAGTGCTTGGCATCCATCCATAACACTCTTTCTACCAAATTTTGCCATTCAGAAGTTTGAATCCATGGAACTGCTTCAAAGTGACTTTTTAAATTGCTATTTCTAGATATTTATCGGCAAAACTCTTAACCCTACTGTCCTCAACTAAAAGAAAAGAATGAAGTGAATTTCATATCTGACCACATTGAATTTGAATCATTAGTACCTCCAGTGTGAAAAATGGGTATCTTGCTATAACAACATACCTGAGACTAGGTAATTCACAAGGGGTAGAAGCCTGGCGCTCTGTTCTGGGGCCCGGGGAGTCTGAGAGCACCGTGTGGGCGTCTGGCAAGAGCCTTCTTGTTGCATCCTGACACTGCAGAGGGCGTCACCTGTGAAGACAGAGCAGGCACATGTTTGCTCCGGTCTCTGGCCCTCTTCTTACAAAGCCGCCAGTCCCATCCTGGTGGGCCCATGCCGATGACCAGTTCCAGCAGCTTTGGGCATACCCATCAGAAATCTTTGACCCAGTGGACAGAAAAGCATTTGCATCTCTGCCGCATCAGGGGATTCATCTGGAAATCCAAAAGGAAGTTTTTTAATCAGGAAAATGACTCTAGCCAAATAACATTTCTGCAGCTTGCCTTTTAAAAGTCTAGTTTTGCCTGGTGTGGTGGCGCACGCCTGTAATCTCAGCACTCAGGGGGCTGAGGCAGGAGGAGCATTGCGAGTTCAAGACCAGCCTAGGCTACAAAGTGATCTCAAGGCCAGCCTGAACTGCATAGCAAGACCCTGTCCCAAAAAGACAAAACAACAACAAAAACAAATAAAAGTTTCAAAACACTCCCGGGTGCTTTGCTGATCATTTTAGGGGAAGGGATGAATGGGAATGTATGAAATTCTCAAAATAATCTTACAACATGATCAATGTAAATGCTTCTGCCATTGAGTGGAAAATGAAAGAAGTGAGGGTAACCAAACAGCAATTTGGCGACTTCAGCCCCTCAATCTACAAAGACCACTGCCAAGTAAATATGTGGTTCGGAAAAAAAGCGGGGTGTGGTGGTGCATGCCTGTAATCTCAGCACTCAGGAGGCTGAGGCAAGAGGATCACTATAAATTAGAGGCCAGCCTGGGCTACGTAGTGAGTTCATGGCCAGCCTGAACTGCATAGCAAAACCCTTTCTCAAAAAGCCAAAATAAAATAAATCAATAAAATACATAAATAAAAATAAATAAATAAAATAAAAAGTATTTTTGTTGCAAATAAAACTACACTGACAAGTGCCCATGCTCCACTCCCCACCACAGACTGTAACCCCACCCCACCCCTCCTTTTTAGGAATTCCCAAGAGACTAAAGCAGTTAATGGCAGCCTACACCCATCTCTCTAAAGGGAGGTGGGGATTAAAGCAACAGGGGTTGGGTCTCCTTCCAGCGTTTTTCATTCCTGCCGTAGTAGATTCAGCAAACAATGGAGTTTTATGATTTTTCTAAAATCAGTTTGACTCTTTCCCTTGAACTTGATCCAGGCACTTTGCTGTGATCAGAATTGCTTTTAAAAAGCAATTGTGGGGGCTAGATCAGCAGCAAAGTGCCTGCCTGGTAAGCACAAGGTCATGAGTTCTATTCCTGGTACCGGAAGAAAAACCCAAAAAAAAAAAAAAAGCAATTGTGCTTGACTTAGCCCTGTTAGGGGTCCAACATTCTGGTGTGGTTCCCTTAGCTGTAAATACTTTACAAAAACAAAACATGAACAAAATGTTTTGAGATGAATAATAACAGAGATGAATTAGCCAAGCCTGACATTTTATATAGCGGCCCTAGTTAGCAAGCAAGTTGACATTCTCCGCATGCCATATTTCAGATGTGCAGATCTCAATTCGCAATTCTGTCAAGTCAGCTGAATAGCGAGAGCTCAGTCTAAGATTGAGGTGTGCGGCAGGATGGCCAGGATTTATTACAAGCACTTGGCACAAATTTGTTTCTCTGATTCTCACAATAATCTTAAGAGTAAAAGCTATTATTACACCGCTTTTGCAGGTAAGGAGATTGAGGGACGGTACCACGCCCAGTCCCACAACTAGTAAATGGCAGAGGTGGACAGAGAACCCAGGAAACCCCGCTGCAGGGCCTGTGCTCTGATGATAGGATGAATTTCTGATGAGTGCATCTTGCTGATCTCCCTGAGCAGGCCGAACATGGTGACTAGGCCAATTGCACTTGCTTACTGTAGCATGATTTCGCATGTGACATAGCATAATCTTGGTGCTGACAGCATACTGGTGTAAACCCAGAGGAATTTCATGTTACCTTTAATAACAGATTAGACCAAAAAAAAAAAAAAAAAAACAAAACAGATTAGACCTAAGAGAACTGCTAGATATCAACAGATTAATGGCTAAAACAAATGTGAAGCCCGGCATGGTGGCACACTCCTGTAATCCTAACAATCAGGAAGCTGAGACAAGCGGATCACTGTGAGTTCAAGGTCAGCCTAGGCTACAAAGTGAGTTCAAGGCCAGCCTGAACTGCATAGTGAAACCCTGTCTCAAAAAGAAAAAAAAAATTAAACAAATGTACATATACACAATAGAACACTCTTCAGGCATAAAAAACGAAATCCTGTCATTCGTGACAACATAGTTGAACTTGGAGGACATTTTGTGAAGTACCATAAGCCAAGCACAGAAAGACAAATACCATATGATCTCACCCACGTGTGGGATCTAAAAAAGTTGGTTTCATAGGACAGAGAAGAATGCTGGTTACTAGAGGCTTGGGTGTTTAAGGCCAGGGGCAGACAGGAAAATGGTGGTCAAAAATATGTAATTATAGTCAGATAGATAAAACCCCGCGAGCGCAGAGAGGTTTGGTCATTCGTTGAGAGGGTGTTGTTTCTGTTGTGGGCAACTGCGCCGGCACGGCGGTCAGAAAAGCCACCTAGGACTTCAGCGTTGGGTAAAAGAAAACGGCCCGAACCAAGCAGACTGCTCGTAAGGCCACTGGTGGGAAAGCCCCGCGAAAACAGCGGGCCACTAAAGCTGCCCGGAAAAGCGCTCCCTCTACCGGCGGGGTGAAGAAACCTCATCGCTGCGGGCCTGGTACCGTGGCGCTTCGAGAGATCCATCGTTACCAGAAATCGACCGAGCTTCCCATTCAGAAGCTGTCTTTCCAGAGGCTGGTGAGAGAGATTGCCCAGGACTTCAAAACCCCCATGAGGTTTCAGAGTGCTGCCACTGGTGCTCTTCAGGAGGCGAGTGAAGCGTACCTGGTGGGCATATTTGAAGATAACTAATCTGTGTGCCAGCCACGCTGAGAGAGTCACCATCATGTCCAAAGACATCCAGTTGGCCCGCCGGATACGGGGAGAGAGAGCTTAAGTGAAGGCAGTTTTTATGGCGTTTTGTAGTAAATTCTGTAAAATACTTTGGTTTAATTTGTGACTTTTTTGTAAGAAATTGTTTATAATATGTTGCATTTGTACTTAAGTCATTCCATCTTTCACTCAGCATGAATGCGAAAAGTGACTGTTCACAGACCTCAGTGATGGGCTGGGGATGGCTGGGGATTTAGCTCAGCGGCACAGAGCCTGCCTGGCAAGCGCGAGGTCGTGAGATCCATTCCTGGTAGCGGGGTGGGGAGTGTTAAAACACAGACCTCAGTGATGTGAGCACTGTTGCTCAGGAGTGACAAGTTGCTAATATGCAGAAGGGATGGGTGATATTTCTTGCTTCTCATGGTGCATGTTCCTGTATGTTAATGACTTGTTGGGTAGCTATTAAGGTACTATAATTGATAAATGTGTACAGAGTCCTTTTGCAATAAAACTGGTTATGACTTGAAGAAAAAAAAAGAAGAAAGAAAAAACCCCCTCAAGAGTAAGAAAATACATAGAAATAGAAGGTAGTAAGGGACTGCCTGGGGTTGGGGACAAGGAGTAGATGGGGATAGTTAGAAACTGAGAATAACCATAATATTTATGGAATTTCTTTCTTGGGTGATACAAATGCTCTGTAATTGATTTGGTGATGGCTATACATACTTTGAACATACTAAAAAACTTTGCAATGTATACTTTAGGTGAATTGTATGAGATGTGAATTATATGTCAATAAGCTGTTTTTCGAAAATTAACAAAACAGTCCTTCCTCCTAAAAAAAAACTTGATCATCAGCAACTACAGAACACTTAAACTACTTCAGTGCCTAAGAAAGTGGTTAAACAGAATACGCAGTCTACTTTTGCATTTAGTTTACCTGAACCTCCCTGTTCTGCCGCTCAGTACATAAGTGTAGAAATTGCTTCCCTTTCCATCTGTCAAATAACAGAGTTAATATCCTCTTGAGTTCAAGCGAGGTAAGCAGCCGGCGGGGCGTCCTGGCAAACGAGCACACTTTTTCGGGGGCCAAGGCTGTCCTTGGTGCCTCTGTGTCCCGTGTCCGGCCGGTAGGTCTGTGCACGTGCTCTCAGCAGGCGGCGGAGCTCCTGCTGCCCTGTCCCCTGGAGATTCCTCCTGAGGAGGGCTGGGATAACGGAGAGGCCTTGTCAAAGTGGCGGGTCAGTGGCTGTGAAAGAGCAGAGGCTGCCAGGTGTAAAGAGGTTGTAGGTTGATGGCTGCAGGCAGAGGAATTTCTCCACACCTCCGAAAGCGGCAGAGCCACCTCCCTCCCACCTCCCTCGCCCCTGCTCCACCCTGCACTTCCGGTTTTGCTTAGTTAGGAGTAATCTGACCAATTATAAATCTATCCTGTTTTCATCTCTAAAGACTTGATGTAATTGAGCAACGGTCAGCAAAAACAGCAACAAAACCCAACTATTTGCGAGGATCTCTCTGTCCTGTAACCCGAGGCTGCCCGACAGAGCAGTGAGGAGGCAGGTCCGGGAATTTGGTCCCGGCTCTGTTCCTGCCAGATGTGTAACTGGAGGCTCTGGGCGTGTCTGTTTCTTCATCTGTAAAACAGGAATGAGTAATTGATGTTGTGAAGGCTAAGGGTGCCACGTAGTAGAAGCTCAGTAATTCTCCTCCTGTCTCCCATCATCCTTGTTATGACCCTGACTAAAGTTAGCACAGAGACATGCAAGGGCTGATGAAAAAAATATAGTGTGTGCTTAAGTTTCAAAAAATATTGCGGTAGCTGGGCGTGGTGGCGCATGCCTATAATCCCAGCACTCCGGAGGCTGAGGCAAGAGGATCACTGCAAGTTCAAGGCCAGCCTGGGCTACAAAGTGAGCTCAAGGCTAGCCTGATCTGCATAGCAAGACCCTGTCTCAAGAAGACAAAAAAATAAAATAAGTAAATAAAATATTGCGGTAAAAGACCACTGCCATTAATCTTCCTTAAACCCCCTTCCTCACTTCAAACACACTTATCACATCATTCTCGACACCTTCTGAGCAGTTCCGGAAGTCCTCTTCTGCTAGTGTCTTCATGAGGTATGATCACGAATGCTACAGGGAATGCCGCCTCCAAGCACCATCCAGCAGAAAGGCAGGCTTGTGAGAACATCCCTGTGCCCTCATCCACCTTATTCACCGGACCTGCTACCATACAACCTCCGGCTCTTCCCCAAAGTCAAAGTGAACATTTTGAATCAATTTAAGACATTGAGGCAGATACAACAGTACAAGTAAAGACACTAATGAAAGAGGATTTCCAGAACTGCTTCAGAAAATGGCAAGAAAGATGGGAAAAGTGTGTTCAAAGTGAGGGTGAGTATTTTGAGGGGGATTAGCAATATCTTTTTTTGGGGGGGGTATCAGGAATTGAACTCAGGACCTTGTGCTTGCCAGGCAGGTGTTATGCTGCTGAGCTATATCTCCAGCCCCAGCAATGTGTCTTTTACTGTAATAATTTAAAAATCTTGGGCTGGGGATATAGCTGTGCGGCACAAGTGCCTGCCTGGCAAGCACAAGGTCCTGAGTTTGATTCCCAGTACCAAAAAAAAGTCATTAAAAATTTTTTTTAAAATTCAGTGTATTTTTCAATCACACCCTATACACTGAAATTGTAGCTGTTAATAAAAAATAATTGAGTTGTTTATTTTGGATTTCTTTTTCTTTTTTTCCCCTCTTTGCTTCTTTCTTGCTGTGTGGCAACTCTCCTGTACCAAATGGCCTCTTCCTGTGAGTAATATATCAAATTTGTAACTAGTCAAACAGACCTCTCCCCCACCAAAAAAAGGAAAAAAAGCAGTAGTACTTAGTCAACCACACCCAAGAGTGCTGGGCTGTTGCCATAGTGATGCAGAGTATTTGTAAAACACTTGGCCCGGAGGACGGTTAATGAGTCACTGTCAGGGCTGGGTGGGGAGCGGGCAACTGCTTTCAATTTCAAAGCACCAGCCTGAAAGCTGAATTGGGAGCAGCCTGGCCTCTGAAGTAAATCAGAGGCCTCTCAGATCTGGGGCTTTGGTTGTACACTGGTTAACTGGTCCTGTGGACATTTCCCCCTATTTCCTTCTTTTGAGTGGAGGGAGCTGCAGACAAACGCTATTTTGCTTTTCTGTGTGTATCAAGAAGCCATAAAGGCGGCTGGGGCTTTAGCTCAGTGGCACAGCGCCTGCCCGGCAAGTGTGAGGTTGTGAGTTTGATTCCTTGTACCGGAAAAAAAAAAAAAAAAAAAAAAAAAAAAAAAGAAGCCACAAAGTTCTTATAATCTAAGCTCTATTTTCCTGTAAAGTTCCCACGTAGCTAAAACAGGCCAAGGGATTTTTGTGGCCTCTTTCTTTTCTTATATATATATATATTTATATATTTTTTTTTCTTATATATATTTTAAATTTTTTTTTTGTAGGGAAAGGTGGTTTTATTAAAAATTCATGGAGACTCTTACTAAAAAGCAGCTTCTGCCTCTACAGATATACTACAGCTAGAGCAATCAGAAAGACAGAGAAACTAGACTGAGAGAGGTGCCAGGCAACACAATCTCTACAAGAATTTATTAGAAAGAGCTAAGAAAGCAAGGAGGAAGCCAGATACATAAAACACCAAGGAAACCAGCCCCCGACCCCCTCTGATAAAAGGCAAAGGAGATAAGGGGCAGCCACCTAAGGACTCTAATATATAAGACACACACACCTATACACATACTTGCATGTACTTCTCACTTTAGCATCACTATCCCTGCACCAGATACACAAGTCCCCTTACTTTCTAACTCTCAACTGCCCTTCTATGAGGCTCCCCCACACTTATCCATCCCAAAGAGACAGGAAGGAACCAGCCGGCCAGAAAGAATGTGGACAGACGTGCTCAGGTTAGGATCACAAGCAGCTGGAGAACCAATAGATGGTGACAACGTCTAGGTGTCTAAGGAGGAGGGGGGAAATCACTAGACCTAAATAAAAAGGAGCTGAGGACAAAAACCCACAGGTATTCACTTTCTGATGCTCCACACTCTTCTGGAGTAGCTGTTTGTCTGATCTTGTTTTCGTTCTTTTCCAAATAAACCATCTTCCTTTATTTATTTATTTATTTTTACCATCTTCCTTTATTTAAAACTCTGCCTCTTTAATTCATTACTTAAGCTAGGAGTAGTCACCTCACCTCAACATTTTTTAAAATTTTGTTTTAGTTTTCATACAGGTGTGTAGTTCAGAATGTTTACATTCCTTGTGGGAAGTTGGCACATGCATGTCACACATCCCAGTTCTTTTTATGTCTCTGCCCCTCCCCTCCTCACCCTTCCCCCACCTCTTGATCTCCTTCCCCTCTGAGAAAGATCTAGCTCCCTACTTCCTATTACCTACTTTTTATTTTGCTCTTTTTTTTTTTTTTTTTTACCTTTTTGAGACAGGGTCTTGCTCTTGAGTTCAGGCTGGCCCTGAGTTCACTTTGTAGCCCAGGCTGGTCTCGAACTCGCGGTAATCCTGCTGCCTCAGCCTCCTGAGTGCTGGGATTACAGGCGTGCGCCACCACGCCCAGCCTTTTGCTCTTTATTTTTACCCAGGTGTCTCATATAAGAGAAACCAAGCTTCTCTGTCTGACTTATTTCACTTAACACTTATGGTTTCAACATGTACCCATTTTCCTACAAATACTGAAGTTTATCTTTCTTTATGGCAGATTAGTGCCTCATTGTGTATAAGTACCATGTTTTCTTTCTTCATTCATCTCTGGATGGATATATAGGCCACTTTCAAGATTGAGCTGTTATGAATTGTGCTGCTATAAACATGGTATTCATGTATCTCTGGAATATGATGTCTTTAACTCTTTTGGGAAGATACCTAGCAGGGGAAGAGCTGGATCAAATGGAAGTTCTAGTTTCAATTTTTTAAGGAATCCCTATACTGATTTCCACAGTTGTACCCGCTTACATTCCCACCAACAGTGTAGAAGTGCTCCTTTTTCCCTGTAGCATCTCCAGCATTTGTTATTATTTGATTTTTTGATGATGGCCCTTCTTTCTCATATAAGACAGAATCTCAGTGTTGCTTTAATTTGCATTTTTCTAATGGTGTGGCCTCTTTCTGTTGCCTTGGGTGATGAGATCCCAGAGAGGTTTCTAGGTTCTTGTGTGTAAGGAATGAAGAATTGG